ATATTAATGAGATCTTTAAAGGCCATGATTTGGATTAGTCCTCCTATTGCATTCTCTTCATATTCTTCACCCTATTCTAAAGAATCTTCACTATCTTCTTGATCATTATCATATATCAGATCTACTAAGAAATCTTGTTGTTCATCTGAGTATATATTGAAGATTGACAGTGAATTCCAATCAACAACTTGTTGATTTTCTATGCAATCTGTGTCAAAATCAATAATCTCATTCTTCAAATCAAAATCTCTAAAGTAATGTTTCTCACATCTAGGTTTTCTATCGCTATCTTCAACACTCAACTCCCCACGCGAGGCATAAAAATGAAAAGGCTTGTACTCAAGATCTTCTTGAGTTAAAAGATCACCGTTGTGCCCATTAATGAGGCTCGCAAATTGCTGTATCAGCTACTGAACTTGCTTTTAAAAGTTCCTCAATTCTGTCAACTATGGTATCACGAAACTAATATACAAAATCCCCCTTCTATGGCCCTATCTCGTAGCCATGGGGTCGTTGAAATCACAAACTCTAGGTAAATGATAAACAAAAACTTGCTCAAATCAACAAGATCTAGGCTTTATTGTTGATCTAGGGAAAAAAAATCGATGCTACAGTATCATGCTACAGAAACTTGCTACAGTACTATCCTAATGGATTGTAGGCTCTAATACTAATTTGATGCAGAAAAATTTGAGACAACAATAAAATCAGCAAGAAACAAAGATAAATACAAGCATAATTCAAAGAAACCTAGGGTTTATTCTCCATACCCCAAGCTAGGTTTCCAAAAGCCTAAGCTTTTGTCTCTTTCAATTTCTAAAAATCATGGGGAATTAACCCCCTCAAGGCCACACACACCTCCTATACATTATTATTTAATGTTCCAAGGACAAAAAATATTCAAATAAATAATACATTGATTCATATATCCTAACTTAACTTAAAATTCATAATGACAGTTTTACCCCTATGAACAGTACTTCTGAATAGTACTCATGAAATAAATAAATAAAATATAAAAACCCTAGAATGCCTAAAAAACTAAAACTCTTAGAAATAAACCCTAAAACTATAACTATAACATACATCCTTTGAAATTGAATTAAAATAAAAAGATGAGGATAATTTGCCCCTCCATCGGAGTGTGTCTCACAAGTGAGAAATGAAACTGAAAACCTAAAATGGGGATTCAAATTTCAATCCTCAAGCATGAAAGCTCTAGAATTTGATGAAAATTTGGTGCCCTTAGTTTTCCTAATTTGAGTCCTTTCTCTGATATGCGACTAGGCATGCAACTGGTCAAACACTCTCTACATTCAGAGCAAACAAAAGGGTCCAAAGGCAAACCAAGGATCAACCTGCAAATGTTTCTGTAATGGTTGATATGGTCAACGAGAGGGTATCAGAGACAAGGATCACTTGTATCAATCTTATAGAGTTTCCAGTACGTAAAATGAAAAGGATTTTCGATAGGACATGGTGGCTTTAGCTATGCAGCTGTTGTCCTTAATCTATGGGTTCCATAACATAATATGGCAACAGCTTGTATGTTATGGCGTTTATTTTCGTGACTTACAAGTTCAAACTTCAAACTTCAAGTTTTAAACTCTATCTCCCATTATGGGATCTAAAATGTGTTGGTGATCATCCGTACTGATTTAAAAACACTCAATTCCATGTGGAAGAGGCTTGATTCCACTTACTCATGGACCCATGATTTGGATGAGAGGGATCTAGATTCTATTAACTAGGGATGTAGGTCCCCAATTTTGCAGATTAAGATCCCTAAATTTAAAAAACATTTGGAATCGAGATGCTTTGTTCTGGAGCGCATGATTGAGCTTTAGGAATTGGAGTGACTACCTTCTTGGGTGATCCCAGTAGCTATGATCCGAATTTTCGTAATATGTACAATTTATTTATTTTGTATTTGTAGGCATATGGTGTTCCTAATTGGGAGGAATCCAATTCCAAGGGGCATGGCCCCACTTGGTATGTTTGGAAATCCCTTGGTATGTTCGAAAAGGATTGAATAGTCTTGAGGATACTCTAGGAGACTAATCCATTTAGTTTTTGTAACTTGCTATTAAAGAGGGAATTAGAATTGGGAAGAGAATATTTTGTTACAATCCAAATCTAATTCAAGAAAGGAAATCTTTATACACAATCCCTGCAAATAGGAACGAACTCTCCAAATACAGGGGGAATTGGATTCCCATAGGGAAAACACGCACGCACACACATGCACAGGCAAACAGGGAGAGACAAAAACAGAGAGAGAGATCAGATGACTGCAGATGGGCCCCTAGAGAGAGAAAGAGAGGCAAATTCCACGCCTCTTCCTCCTTTTCCTATGCGGTGTACTTGTGTCTTTCAATTTCACACCTCCACCAGGTTCATGGGATTTGCGTGGTGGAATTCTACAGACTACCCTTGTAGTTGACAGGTCAATCTGTGGTGCATAACCATTCCTCTTTGGAAGTTTCACGAGAAGAGGACAAAGATAGCACAGAGGTGTGTAAGATTAGTCTCGGCTGCTCAGTAATTTGATTTGTATATTCCAAAGTGTTCATTGGTCTCAAAACTATGTCATTCTTTTGGACTTCAGGTAGTTTTGCACATCCATGGGTACTTATACATGCACCTATGATGAAGGGCATAGAACATTAAGGTCATGAGATCCAATATTTCATTCTTAGTTTTCTCCATTTTTCCTGTCTTCTGCAATAAATGAGCATGTATTTTCTGCAGAATGGACAAGGGGTCACCACTGAGATAATGAATGGTAGACACAGCCACAATAGAGGCTGTTGTACCATGGGGGTTTTCGACACAATCAATAACTATGACGAAGGGGGCTAGAAATGAGTCAGGGTCTCTCCTTAAAACATATATGCACTTCAAGGGCTGGTTGTGCACTTAATCTATGACCTAGAAATATTATCTATGACCTAGAAATACAGTTTCACAAATATTGTGCCTTGCTGCAGACCAAAGTGAGCCGAATTTGCAAGGGGCAAATTTGGATATCTAAGAAACATATTGAGATCGATCATCACTTTAAGGTATTTATCTAAATAAACAAAGACGGATTTTCACTTTTACCTCTTTTTGGTAGGGGTGGCAATCGGTCAAGTCCGGCTGGACCCGAATAGTATTCGGGTCCAAAATTTGGACCCATACGCAGACCCGAGGTCAGGTATACCTGTCGGATCCCGGGTTTAGTCGGGTCCAATGCCACCCCTACGTTTTTGGTAGGATCACTGGTCCCTTTGTGTAATAGATAGTTTTCAATGGATGGTTTGGTTTTTCTCCCATAGAATCATTGGAGATAGATGAAATCCTATAGTATCTATGGTAAGACAAAGGCAAACATACATGGTGGTAAGAATGATGCTAGACTCAAGCTCACATCAATTTAAGAGGGAGTGTAAAATATAAGTGGAATATGGGTGCATTAGAGTTGTACATCAATAAGCACAGGGTCAAGCCTATAGGCATGCCGATCATTGTATTTGGTTTAAGGGGCTTTGTGAATTTTTGCATTTATGAAGTCAGCTTAAAACCAGTTATGGTTCAGCACAATGAGAATTTAGCCGCCCCTCTTTTCTTTTTTTCCTTCGTCCTTCTCTCTACCATAACATGTGATCTCACACATACCCATATAAAAGAAATAGAAGTTATAGTGCTGCATATAATCCAGTTAATAGAGGTTTCCAATACCTGAACAGTACTTGGACCAAAAACTACCCAAGTTGATATCTTATACCAGTTTGATTTGGAGTTTTAAGAACCAAATGCATTTGGAATTGAATTGATTGCTTCAAGAAGTCTCAGGAACTAACCCGTGTCGTATTTAACAATCTCCATGGCTTCAGGAAGTCTCAGGAACTAACCCATGTCATCTCCACAATCTCCAGGGCTTCAAGAAGTCTCAGGAACTAACCCATGTCATCTCCACAATCTCCAGGGCTTACCATATATGCTGATTGAGCCAATTCTCAATCTGGAGAACTTTTGGATGGCTTACCATATATGCTGATTGAGCCAATTCTCAATCTGGAGAACTTTCGGATGCAAGCATTCCTGTCCTCCTTGGGCATCTCTTGCCTCATGGAAGCACAAACTCCATGCACCATCTCCAAATCAGAATACAGATCCATCTCCTCTATTTGAGACGAAAATATATGCCTTCATGATATGTACCTGAACTGGTGTTGACTAGACTCCTCGTCCTTTAGTAAGCAAAAAACCAGGGCAATTCATATAACAATTTACATTTTTCAAAAAAATAAGGAGCATCTTATGTGAAACTGCTCCTGAAAGTTTACTTTCTTTGTCATCTATGACTCTATGACAATAAAACAACATTTCTATCAAGCATATTCATAGGAGTTGATGCATCAGTTCTGATTTGAGAACCATATGTATATATTCCTCAATATTGTAATGTATGTATTGTATTCCTCATTATTGTATAGGAGCAGATTCATCCATGTGTGTCACCCTCAACGACACACCAGTCATTTTCCTTTGAGGCAATAAACATTCAAGAGGATATGAATTGTAAAAACAGATACTTTCTCCCAAAATTTGGCAGTCACAATATATTTTATGTTGTCCACCCAGTTACTCAAGATAGCATCCACAAATAGGATGCAGAAACCACATGGAAAAGACAGAAACAAGGTGGGTTGCATGATAGAGACCAAGAACCATATCATATTGCTGCAGTTGTATGTATAAAAGAAAAGGAGATACTGCTGATCTCTATTCAAGGAGATATTGTTGATCTCTATTCAAAAGCTGCAGACAAGGATCAATAATCACATCTATAAAAACTCCATACAAGTTCAAGTAATAAGCACGCAGTCTTCAGAACAAAACTTTGAATTTTCAACCTCCAGATCAAATTTCATAGTTTGAAATGGCAACTTTTTTATCCATTACTGGTCCAATATGGACACATTCTAAAAAGAGAACACAGAAAGCCAAGACAATCCACACAAAACATAGTCTAAATTGTATTATTCACTCTGTTAGGATTCTTCCCAGAAACAATTAAAGTGTCAATCATTAACATAAAGGAATTCCCTTAACCATACCACCAAATATAAGAGAGAAAGAGAACAAGTAGCCAAACTTAAGCACTGAGAAACACAAAAATGGAAACTGCAGATGCTGGAAATGCAATAGAGCAAGGATATGTTACTAATCAAAAAAAACCTCTACTAATGTGTCACTCAAGCATGCTCCAGTACAAGAGCCAATTGGATGCCCATTTTCCTTCCAAAGCGGTATTTTCAAAGGTCAGAAACTCAGAATAATCTCTAGAGAATACAAAAGGGTTCGAAGAGAAGCTGTCCTTGCCAGAAACAAGTAACATGGTCAGCTCCAAAAGAAGAAATGAGAAGGGTACAGTTCCCAAGCTCTTGATTACCTTTTGTACAGCCAAACACCCAACTGTACAATTCAAATGTCAAAACGTCTATCAAAAGCAAACCATACCATTCACTTAATTCAAACAGGATCGTTGGACTAGTAAGAGAGGCGCCTCAAGCATATCAGGCCATCAACATCATCATCATCGAGAAAATCAAATTTTCCATCCTCTCTCCCATAAGAGCCTCTCACTCATCGTGTTCCTTATCATCCCTCCCATACAACAAAGGGAACTCATCATACTGCTCAGAGAAGTCATGGGTCGAACCGATACCCTTAAGCAACTGGTAAACCTGATGCATAGAAGACCTGTCCTTTGGCCTAGAGAGCACACATGCACAAGCCACCCTCATAAACTGCAGAATCTCCTCATCATTGCCCTTTCCTCTAAGAGAAGCATCAACTGCATCTATTATCCGCCCACTCGACGAGAGTCGATTGACCCATTCCACCAAATTCCCCTTAAACCCTTCCTCTGCATTTTCGACCACCAAAGGCTTTTGTCCAGTTGCCAACTCGAGAAGAACAACCCCAAATCCATACACATCTCCCTTAAGGGATGCCACGAGAGTGCTTGAATACTCTGGTGCAACATAACCGAAGTCCCCAAAATCACCATTGATGAATGTGCTCAGGTGGGTCTCAACAGGGCTCATGATCCTAGCAAGCCCAAAGTCCGTAATTCGAGCCTCGTAGTCTTCATCAAGGAGCACCGTGTTCGAACTAATGTTGCGATGGATAAATGAGGTCGGGTTCCCATGGTGCAACCAAGCCAAGCCCCTTGCCGCTCCCACCCCAATCCTAAGCCTCATAGCCCAATCAAGTTCATGCCCATCACATCGACCTGCATTATCGTGAAGCAAGGAATAGAGAGTGCCACTAGGCATGTCTTTGTACACAAGTAGTTTCTCATCAGCCGCAATGCAATAGCCAAGAAGAGGGACAAGATTTGGGTGCCTTAATTGACCTAGCCGATTCATTTCTGACCGGAATTGCTTCTCAGAGAGGGGGCATGAGTGGATCCTCTTGATCGCAAGGGCAGATCCATCAGCGAGAACCGCCCGATACGAAGTCCCCGTCTTCCCAGAAGTTATGACATTACCAGGATCAAAATCATTGGTGGCCGTGAGGAGATCGGTGAGCTTGATCTTGACCAGTGGCTTCTGAAACATGGATACATGTGCAAGCCTATGCGCCCGCAGCTTCTCGACCCACGCATCTGGCACCCCCCCATCAGCCTTGCCCTTGCCTTTGTGCCCGCGCACAAACCACCACCACATCCCGAACGCGAATGCCAGCGACACACACGCACCAAAAGCGGCAGCAGCAATGATGATGACAGTGGATGCTTTGGTCTTGGAGTTGCAAGAAGATGACACAGGGGGGGCACATAGGCCCCCATTGTTTGCAAAAGCAGAGGAATCAAATTTGGACAAACCAGAGGGGATGGCACCGGAGAGAGAATTACCAGAGAGTGAGAGGTGGGCGAGGCGGTCAAGGCTAGCAAGCTGGTAGGGGATTTGGCCCGACAGTTTGTTGGAGTCCAGGCGAAGGGTATTGAGAAAGCGGCAGTTGACGAGTTCAGGAGGGATGTGGCCAGAGAGCTGGTTGTGGGAGAGGTCGAGGGTGACGAGGAAAGGGAGCCAGTCGCAAAGGTTTGCAGGGATGGGTCCTGAGATGGAGTTCTTGGAAATGTCCAGGGAGGTCATGGAGGAGCATAGGCGGAGGGAGGAGGGGACAGGGCCTGAGAGGGAGAGGGAGGAGAGGCGGAGGTCGAGTACCTTGTTCTCGTTCTCATGCCAGCACGTCACTCCCCCAAAGGCACAGATGAAGCCCGCCGAGGTGTTACCAAAGTTCCACGAGACAAGGTTGCCCTGCGGGTCCAACAGCTCAGACTTGGTGGCCCGAAGGCACTGCACATCATCCTCCGCCACGACTGCTGGACTCTGGTTGAGCAAGAGCAGCCCCACAATCACCACTACATGGGGTAAGGAGATACAGTGATAATCAAGACATACAACACCAGGGGATTCTGTTTTTCTTCTTCCCATGGAGGCAAGCTGGACTGGAGTAGTAATAATTGCAGAGAGGATCTTGAAGGATCTTCGAAGAAGACCGCACAAGAGCTAAAGATGATGAAGATCAAAGAGAGACTTTATTCTTCTGTAGGCATGTGAAGATCTGAAGGAGAGAGGAGGAGCTTATTTTACAGGAGGATATCTGAAGGAGAGAGAAAGAGTAGATTATTTTACAAGAGAGAGGAAAGCTACTGACTTAGGGAAGAGAAGGGGAAGGACGCTTATTGTTTGACAGGAATCAGCACAGAAAGAGAGAGAATCTTACCAACCATTCAGCAAGCATGATGAGAGAGAGAGAGAGACAGATCTGTTATTGGGCAGGTATGGTGAAGAGAGAGAAACCTGTTAATGGGCAGGCATGGTGGAGAAAGAGTGAAGGTGGGTTTTTGGAGGAGGTGGGATTGACTGTTGGGAAGAGAGAGAGAGTGGTGAGTGACGGTGGATTGGGTAGATGTTCAGACCAAGTATTAATTAGGGCTTTGACCCCTCTTATTTAATATTTGGTGATTATCAGACACCTACTTTTGATTGGAAGAAACTTCAACTCCTCCGTTAGAGCCTTTTCCACGCCGCCCCACCTTCCCCCAAAAAGAGTGTCTACTCCCGCGGGAGTACACAATACACTTACTCCCTTTCGTACAACGCAAGGCGTGCGTTTTAGATCTCAAATTTTTGGGGTCAAAATCTCTACTCCTATAAACTAAATGTATTTCCAAACAAGTTTCTGAGCTAGAAAAAATATTATCTTACGATTGAATTAAGACCGTCCAATTTTTGAAGAAAGTAAAACTTAAAATTTAAATTTTTCTTTAAAAAAAATTTATTTATGATTACTAAAATATTTTATATGAGGAAATAAATGCATAAGATACTCCCATGCGAGCTTGGTAAACATGCTCCCCACTTAGAGATGAATCATCCATTCCGCGGGGATTATTTTCCACTCGCTGCTTTATTCTCTTTCTACCTTCTCATCATGTCCTCCAGATTGGACCCCTGTTATTTTCTTCAATGCCTAGATGGTCCTCACTTTTGTTTCAAAATCGGTGGAAGCACTTCATCTTTTCGGAATTTCCGACAATTGACCGCCATCTTTTATTATTAATTAATTATTATTTGTAAGCTTCCTTGAGGTTATTGTATTGAAGATGATGACATATGTGTTCCAATTTTGACCATTCAAATATCTTTTTGTTTCAAGTATTGGCATCTTCAACGCTTCGGATTCTAACCTCTTTTTTTTTTTTCTCTTGTTTATTGGAAAAATATGTCTGACTGATCATTCATTTGGTAAACATGTAGCAAGATAATTATAACTCAAAATAATACAGAACGGGAATGGTTCGGGGCCTTCGCAATAGTACTATCAAGCCTTATGATGAAGTCTTAAAGTACATTTTCATGAAAGCATGGGCCAGATTTTAGTAAAAAGAATAAGTCATTGGGCCTAGATCCCCAATGACTAATGCTTTTTACTAAGATCTAGGTAGCGTAGTTGGTTATCACGTTAGTCTCACACACTACATGTCCCCGGTTCAAACTCGGGCTTAGACAATTAAAACCAGTTTTTACTTACCCAAAATATAATTAATGTAGAAAGGATCAAAGAATCCAAATGAACATCTCCTTTAACCAAAGCATGGGCTTCCTTATTCTCTTCCTTGAAGCAGCCATATATAACTACAATTATTTTTGGAGACATGGTGTCTTATTTGACCTAAAATAGGAATAAATCTCCAAGGGAAAGCTGTTTGCCCTCTACTCCAAGCAATCACATTAATAGAATTACCTTCTACTATTTTTTTTTTACCGTTAGAAGAGGAAAGAAATCTTAATCCATGCTGAAGAGCTTTTAACCTCTGCCTTATTTGCTGTAAATGTACCACATGGAGCTGAGGAGAAGGGTAAAATATTACCCAAAATGATATTTAATTAAACCCCAAACAATACGCGGATTCCCTAATGAACTCTAATAGAAAAATAATTTGAATCCAATTGATTGGAGGAGGAATCCAATTGGGAAGTCTCGTCTTAATGTTAAGTTCTCAGTTTCCACTACTTTATTTCTTCAAGTTCTTAATGATTTGTTCCTTTGAGATAGATTTGCAATCTTTTGGTTAGAAGCACATTCAGCTGCCCTTGATAGAATATTGCATTCCAATTTCAACAATATCCACAAAAGAGCCCTTAAGTGTCATTTTACTTTGTTCTTTCCAAATATTCCATACTATGGCCACCATTAAAGATCTCAACAAAATATTTCCGACTTTTGGGATGTATGGACTAGTCTACAAAAATAGTGAAATAGACGGTGGTGTATGAACATGTAAATTAAGCTTTTCTCTACACCAACTCCATAAATTTTGTGGAAGAGGATATTCTGGGAATAAAAATCTGTACTTGTAGAGGAATTTGATAGAAAACTCACCGAGCAGAGTTAGATTCCACATCAATTGCTCTCTCTTTTTAGGGACATAACAGATCTAGAGTAGTCTCCCCATCAACCCACCAAACTCCCTATGAATCTAGCTAAAGGCTTTGCTCACTACAATGTATCGCGACTAGGAAAGACTTTCCAAAGGTAACCAAGCTTTGCTTCGCCAGCATGTTGTAGACTGATAAAGGCGGAGGTTGCTTTAAAAATGTGGTAATGTTTCCAAAGGGAACATAATTGCCTATGTTATGTGGTTTTCTAAAGCTCAGTCGCCCCTTTGCGTCATAATACGACAGTAGCTGTATTTTGCTATTAAGAGTTGTCAAACAGAATGCCGTTTGCTACCTTTGTTACGTGGTAGATAAAAACCAAACCGTATTAAAATCTTCACTGAATATTGTTATTTCACGGTAGTGTCACCAAATCATTTATCAAACCAAAACTAGTTTGGTCACCTTTCCCGATAGCCTCTCTACAATATTTAAGATAAATAGGTCTAAAATAATCAATGTTTCTCCACGTGAAAAACATCTTGATTTTAGACCACTTCCAGTTTCCAAACCGTATTTCTCTCTTAGAACTTCTCCCCATAACAGATTTTTATTGTTGTGGTTGTGCCACCACTACTTTGTAAGTAAACTTGCATTCATAAGCGATTGTTTTATCCCATTGGACCAAATTGAGTTTTTTGGTTTTATCAGTGCTAACCCACACAAAAGATCTCTTCATCCCTTTAGAACTCTAACAACTTAGGAAGGTATATGAAAAAAAAAAAATAGACTAAGAGGTTCGAATTGATTAAATTTCAACCATAACCCTACTTTAACATATAAATACCCCCTCCAAAAATCCCATAAAATCATCCGAAAAATATAGAAATCATACCAAATGAAAATAGAAAATCAAAAGTAAGAAAATCCCATATATTAGTAGAAAATTCCATAAATTAGTAAAAATCCCATAAATTAGTAGAAAAATCCTTTAAAATTAGAAAAAATCAATAAAATTCCCCAAAGACCATAGAAAATCTAAAAATTCAAAATAGAAAATAAGAGATCCCAAACATCTTTGAAAATTAGGGAAAACCATCTCCCAACCTTAGGAAAAATTAAGTGAACCATACCTAAAAATCCCTAACCTTTCTTTAAGCCTTAGGAACCCTAGGTCTAGGTGAAACAACCTTAGATATATCAAACTCTAGCAAGAAAATGCATCAACTTCGAGTTTTGGGTCCCTAAGGTAAGCATTTCCTCCTCTTTAATATATAGTTTATTTTTATTTTAATTTAGTGTATTTTATCTGCCATTTCTCTTATCTTAAATTAGTAAAATTTTAGCATAATTTTGAAGGTCATATGCATAGATTTCAAAGCTATCGCTGCCAGTGGACTCAAAAGAAAACTGGATCTGTATGGATCTGCAATGATTCTAAGCTTGTCATTTAAGCAATCCCACTCTCTACTATTTTGTAAATTTTAACTCGTTCTGTGTCATATTTGAATTGATTTTTCTCTGAGATCAATGCAAATCTAAGTGTACAAATCTAAGTGTACATACTGTCACCCTTCGTGGGGTACTCAAGCTTCAAATCTGTACATTTCGACTTTTCAAACACTTCCTGAAATTTTACAATAACGTTTTTCCCAAAAAAACAAAACAGGAAACTACAAAAGTCGCCTAGTATGGACTGAGAAGAAAATTTTTTGCCGACTCGTTTCTTGGATATTCAACCCCCTATGATTTTCAAGAGGTTTTTGTCACCATGATATCCTTTCTGTAAATCCAAATATTTTAAAATTCAAAATAAGTAAAATAGAAAGAGATTAGAAAAATAGAAAGAGATTAGAGCTAATGTCTCTTCTTTTCTTTATCACTCCAGATTTGATATGTTTTAATCTTATCTTCATGCTTTAAATTTTTTATCTATCTCTTTAAAAAGATCTTTATCTTTACTGTTATGAGAGAGAGAGAGAGAGGGAGAGAGAGAGAGAGATCTAGGTTTTTTCTTCTTTCATCCATTTAGATTAGCTTGATCTTAGCTGACTTGATGTTATCATTTTTTTAGCTTATCTCTTCTTTTAAGTCTTTTTTGCATAGCTTAGAATTTCTCGACTTTATATTTTTTATAAAAGCATCTTTATCTTTGGAATAAAAAAGAAAAAGAAAACAGGAGGAAAAGATAGATCTAGGCTTTCTCTTCTCTAATCTGTTAAGATTAGATATAACCTTACCTGCTTAGATCTTATCTTTTTAACTTCATCTATTTAGTTTAGAAAATATTTGATCTTGCCTTATTAGATTAAATCTTCATTTCCATCTTTATCTCTTGCATTAGTTGATTAGGTTGTTTGCATGTTCTTGTTTGATCACAATTATCGCATGCACTACTGCATGTTGATCTTACACTTAAACGCACATGTTCAAACGTATACAGAGAATTACAAATTTTCGAAAACCCCTACACCGTCACTTAAGTCGTATGGGAACCCAGTCTCTTGTGTGGAGCATTGGGAATGCCCTGCAAGTGAGCAAAGCATCCCTCTAGTGAAACTCTGACCACATACAACCCCACTATAGTAAGGACTAGCCTCCACAGACGAGCGTAGTTGGACCTTATGTGCGCCACGCATGGAATCGAGTACCGCTGTCTGCACACCACCGTCGACGGAAGGAAGCGTAACGACGGGCACGTGAGGAGGCTTAAAACTGTGAGTGAGGAGAGAAAGAGAAACTAGAGCATCGTCGTGACCGTATCACCATTTGGAGCATCGCCACGAATGTGCATCGTCCTTTGGAGCATCACCATGAATGTGTATCGCCGTCTGGAGCATCGTCGCGAGCATATCGCCGTCTGGAGCATCACCGCGAGCATGTATCACCGTCTGGAGCATCACCACGAGCATATCACCGTCTGAAGCATCGTCGTAAGCATGTTGCCATCAGGAGCGTCGCCACCTAGAGTAACGCCATGCGAGGATGGTCATGTGCATCCGTCAGCAGTGTCAGCGCCATGCCGTACCTGTCAGTGCCA